AATCAAATTTTTTTACACAAATGTAAAATGCAAGAACACATCAAAAAATTTTCTCTAAACTTCATAAAAATTTTAGGGTATGTAGAATTTTTCATTGTGAACAACTTTATTTAATATAAAAAGATTGATTTACCTAATAAAAACTTAGCAAAAATAATGTTTCATTGTATTGCCATTACTTTCGCTGGGGACTGTAAGTTCTCCTTTGTCAATGATTCCACTAAATTTATTTCCGTTTGCAAATTTAATTTCTCCATAGAAATTACCTATAATTGCATAAGTGACAAATTTAAATTTTAGTTAATTTATTTCGTGCACACATATTCATAGTGTAACGTTACACTCTACTGCTGAATTTTATACACTGACCAGCATTATAAAAAGTAATCTTTAAATATTTTTCACCCTTATTCAATTTCTTAATTCCATCAAAAATCATGCTAAGTGTACCATTAGGGCCCTTTCCTATAATTTCATCTTCATTAAGAATATAATTAATTTGCTCCCTCACTGCTTCATCTTGAATACCAAATAAATGAACTTTACATGGACAAGGTAATAAATTTTACTTACCTGTTTATCAGAATGGGGTACATGGACATTTTGGCTCAATCATAACTATCCCTTAAATGATTTTTAGACCAAATATGGTCTAAATTTCAAATTCCATTTTTTCTTTACAAAAAAAGTTTTTATGTAAAACCCTGGGCGTGGTGTGTACTATTCAAAAGATCTTCTCAAATAGTATCTCAATATGTAAATAAAATAATAATGGTTTATTATTGTGTAAATTTCTAAATTTTATTATGTATTGTTCATGTAGTACAAAAATCTGAAATAATAAAAGGACTTTCAACTCCGTTATTTGTAATATTTTGGTATCATACAATTTTTAAACAGCTGTTATCATGGCCTGACCCAAAATTTAAATAGCCTTATTTTAGAAATGTTTTTATGATGAACATACCAACAAAAATTTTGTATCAGACCATGATAACATGCTTAAAAATGTATGATGTCAATATATATATATGTTTTAAAATGGCTTTTACTTGATCTAAATCTTCTATAAATAAGCCCAAGTAGATGATACATCAAGAAAATTCAATTTATTGATAATTATCTATAAAATAAAAAAAAATAAAAAAAATAAAAACAAGTTCAATTAAAATACAAGAAAATATTTTTGAAGAAAATCAACAAGATTCTGATAATGAATTAGATTATTATATTGCTAATATTACAAGAATACCACAAAATATTTACCATGATGAATCTCTTGAGTATAATGAATTTATTGAATGTCTTGACTATACATGCAGCCCAAAGTATTTTGACACTGTCATAAAGGGGGTTACACATGTAGTAAAGGGGTGTTACACTTATGTTTTTAATAGTGAATGCTGTAATTAATTTCTACTTTCTACCATCAAAATTGGAATAATCTTGACCATCAAAATCACCAAACCAATTTGGGCTGCATGTATAGTCTTGACAGTTTAGAAGATGGTAATGGAATTGATAGTGATGAAGCTATTGAGGAAATGAAAATAGATGAAATTCCAATGAAAAGCTACAAATAATGAAGGCTGTTCATTTGTATTTTGTACTTTATGTAATGTTGCTTTATGTTTAAACCCAAAAAGAAATTGGTTTCTAAAGTATCATAGTAGTGATTAATAATAAATCAATTTTACACAAAAATAAAAATATGTACATGATTTTCAACACATTAAAAATGAAAACATGTGCTCTAAACTGGTTTTTTTTTAAGTAAACTGTCTATTAGAAATAGTATTTTTACATAATTTACGGTTTAGGCCAAATAATCAATGAGCAAAAACTTTTTCTAATCATAACTATCAAAAAAATTAAAAAATCGGGATTTTTTTACAATACACCCTTTTTTCACACCAATTAAACTCCCCCAAAATATCAAATAAAATGGTTTATATGTATAAACTATACCTTTTTGACTATATATTTAAAATCAAAAAAAAAATGGGGGTCAAATGATAACTTTGTTGTTTAGATGGGTCTACAATAATTTAAAATTTTAGACCAAATATGGTCTAAATTTTTGTTTGTTTAAGGGATAATGAGCAGTAGCATCAATACTGCAATATTGTGTTTTATTCTTTGAATGATGTTGGTTAACTAGTTTCCTTTGTTCTTCTGCTAAGTTGGTGTTTTTATTATAATAATTTCTTTCTACTTTGGCTTTAGACAGATGTCATTTAAATCTTTTGAGTAATTCTTTAGCTTCATCCTCTTGGCGAGCATTATAATGTAAACCATTTCGAAAATGTTGACATGTATCACATAAATCAGTCCTTGGACTCATAATTTGAATTTCTTGTGTCAATTGATGTCATAACTTCCTGAATGCATCATACTTTAAAGATTCAAATTATTATCTTCCTCTAGACCAGCTAGAAAGTCTCTGTACACTGATTTATAACTCACTTCAGCTGTAAAATATAACTGATTGAGTTATTCTATTGGTACTTCTATCTGGACTTGGTAATCCTTGTACCTCAGCATAATTTTCAAGGAAGTTTTTCACTATTTCAGCAATATCTTAATCAATCATCATTTTAGTTTTCCATTGAGGAATCCTTTTAATATTACCATGAACTCTTGGTAAAAGACCATTGTTTATCAGATGATTTCTGACATTTTCAAAATAACATCAGGAAATTTTTAAGGGGATACATAGGTAGACTTGATAAGTCAGTTCCTCAATAAGTCAGTTTTGGCCTAACTCAATCAAAAATTTTCAGCCCTTTTTTTCCCTATTTAAAACCCCTTGATAAGTCAGCCAACCTATATAAAGCCACGATTAATGTTGGTTTTCAAAATTAGAGAGTTTTGCAATTGTGCAAAAGTCAAAACTAGTTTTGATTTTTGACTATTGACTTTGATTTATTTTGACATACAACTTTTAGTTTTAGTTTTGACTTCGCCTTTTCAAATAGTTTTGGCAACCAACATTAGTCGCGATAAGTTGTAAGTCTGCCAACCCTTCTTTTTAGGATAAGTAAATTGTTCTCGATAAGTCAGACTCACGTGACATTTTCATTAAATAAAAGATCATCATTACTACTTTTAGTAACGTATTTTTTTTTTTTAGAATTTTATATCATACTGTCATTATATCTGATGATTTAGAAATTCTTATCGTGATATTTTATTATTTCATTTTTTTATCATCGGGTTATATATCATTGATTGTATAACTTATTGCCTAATAATTTAGAAAGAATATTCTTGTATGTATTGTGAAAATACATTTATTTATTTTTATTATGTTTTATTGTGTTTGGAAATATGTATAAAAAGGTTGGTTGATTTTCCAAACTTCTGAAATTCTAAGAAAAAGATTAATATGAACAATTATTCCTTAAAAAACTATTTATTTAGAATAAAAAAAAAATTTTTTTCATATTTTATCTGTTTTATTATTTATTTTGTTATTTACATATGTAAACTCGATAAGTCGGTCATGTCGGGGCGACCGACTTATTGAATTTCACGTGATTCTTTAATTTATTAAAATAAAAAATATTAACATTGAAAATATAAACATCGAAAATACACAGTGAGTCTCGGTTGTTTGTTCCAGGAAATTTATCCGCTATACCGAGTCATCCGTAATGCCGAGATAACCGTAAAAAATCGAATTTTGATTAAATCATGTGATACATGTTACGTAAAAAATTAATTTTATTTTTAATAATATAATAATAATAAAAATACAGTTGGTAAAAATTTTAAAAAAAAAACAATTCATTCACTTAAAACGTTGACATTATAATAATCTTCCATTCTTGTTTGCACTTGTTCTTGAGAATTTTTGTAAGAAATTTCACTTTTTAATCTTTTGACATTTCTAATTACTTGAAAATCAATATCTAAAAATTTTTGCTGTACATATTTAAGTATAATTTCCGGAGCTTTTATAGCTTCCATATTAATGATCATCAGCTCAAGTTCATTTGTTTCATTTGTTTTATCGTCACCAACTTCACTTTGTCCTTTTGCAATATTTACGATTTAGCATATAAAGAAATAAAAGGAAATGACATATTGATAGTGTCATTTCCAAGAAATATTACGAATAAAAATTATTAGATCATACGTTACTAAAATAGTAATGATGACCCTTTACATAATGAGTTATCACGTGATACTAACTTATCGCGATTCATTTAATTATACTTGGGCTAAGTGATTGACCGACTTAGCGCTTATCGCGACTTTATATAGATTGACCGACTTATCGAATTTTTTTAAATAGTAAAAAAACGGGGCGAAAATTTTTGGCCGAGTTAGGCCAAAACCGACTTATCGAGTTTACATATGTATTTGTAATTTTTAATTTTATAATAATAAAATTTTCAACACAAAAATTTTTATGTCAAATGCTCTCTGTAAGACGGTCTTGATAAGTCGGTTCTCTTGATAAGTCAGCCAAACATGCGGCTGACTTATCGAGTTTACCTATGTATATATTGATGAAAATCCATTTGATAATAAGTCGATAATAATCGCCCTCATTGATTATTTTCGATATAGATAAATATGGATAAATTATCGAAATTTAACAACATTGAAATTTAGCAACCCTATAAAAAATATCATACGAAATTCCCATATGTCAAGTACGTTCTAAAAAATAAATACGGAATTAACGTATTTATTATACTGTTTAAAAAGTTGCCCTTTTTAAAATTTAACAAAGGTACGGAATAGATGCGGAATGTGTGACATACTGAAAGGGTACGTTTTTGTTTCCGCATAAAACATACGGAATTCATGACATACTGAAAAGGTACGTTTTTGTTTCTGCATAAAACATACGGAATTCATGACATACTGAAAAGGTACATTTTTGTTTTCGTATAAAACATATGGAATTCATGACATACTGAAAGGGTACCAGTCACAGGACATTTCCCACCGATCTATAGGAGGCTATAAAATTTGGATGATCTGCATCATAGTAAAATTCGAATTTACGGGTCTGATTCATTTCGTCGACATCCATTTCGTCGAAGGTTCATTTCATCGAAAGTTCATTTCGTCGAAAATTATTTCGTCACAAAAAAAAACTTCATTAAACAAATTTCTCCTCGCACTTCCCACACACTCCGCTTTCCTCACCTAATGTCTTAACTAACTTCCCACACTCCTCACATCTAACTCGTTCGGTCTCTGGTTCGAGGATGAAATAATTTTCGACGAAATGAACACTCGACGAAACGAACATTCGACGAAGTGGGTGTCAACGAAGTAATTTTCGACGAAGTAAACGCGACCGTAATATTTAATATAATTAATTGATTAATTTTGAATAAAAATAAAAATAAAAATGTGTTATCAAAAATGTTTATATACATGGAATCAAAACGTGTCACTCACTCACATCCATTACATATGTTTTATATGCAATCAAAATGGACCGTACCTATTCCGTATGTTTTATGCGGAAAGCAAAAGCGTACTAGTCGTGTGATATTTCCTTGAGGCTGCTTTTCTATATTAATATGTGAAAATAAATTCGAAATTCGTGTCACATGAATTTTTTTAAAATATCTCGCTATTTTTACAATAAACTCGAACTTCATTGTTAGAGTACAATGAAAGTACTCCATTAAAGCTTTCTAATGAATACTCTCTCATATCGAAAGGTATTCTCTACATGAATTCACGGCTATTCAAAACGGTATTACTTTTTCACTTCAAAGCTCAGATTATTTCTCAATATCGCTTTAAAAGACTTGATAGTAAATGAGAAGGTGTAGAATACTTTAAGCTTTCATATTGTTATTAATTTGTGGGGGATATTGGTTAATAAGTTTTAGAGGGGTTCACGAAAAACTATTTTATAGAAAATTTTAATATTCATGAAAAATTTTATGTAGATGGGATTCAGCAAAAACTAAAAGGTATTTTATTAATGATTGTTTTATGATTGTTATAAATATCCATCAATCAGTGGTTGTTATAATAACATTAAACAATAATATGCAAACGACGACAACGAACCATCTTTTTTGAGGATGATAATAAAGATTAAGAATTAAGACCAAGGTTATTTTCAAATAAGGAATTGTTTTTTACTAATACTTCATTTATTGTTTGGTGACAGAATAGTATTTGTAATCATTTTGACTTTTTCTTCTGTATAAATAGAAGAATTAAAATTAAAATATGTACTATAATAACGATTGTAAAACACAAATGAGTAAAGAGCATGCACACAAAGTCTATTGAGCAAAAGTTTTACCAACTAAATTTTTTGGAAGATGAAAATGATTCATTGCCGCTGATTTATTTTTTTTATTTTTTAAAAAAATTTCCCCTTGTTGATCATCTCAAATTAATGACACTATTTTTAATGTCACAACACTATAAACTCACATGACCCAAACGGTCAACAATAACATTCCTTCTGCAATAGCTAAACTCACTAGGATAACTATTAAAGAAAATGAACAATTATGTAAAATATACTGTATTTTTGCTATTTTTAATTTAACATATGTTTTTTTATTATAATCAGCACAACAAATTATAATTAATAAATTTTTATTGAATGGTAAATAAAGAAAACCTTGGCATTTAATCAACGCCCCAAGTAATAATCATATGAAACCTAGGGTCTTCTGAAGCAATAATTCATGACGCGGGGCATAATAATAATTCGTGATTCAAAACATAATTCGTGACACAAGGCATATAGTTTGTGACGCGAAGCATAGTTTGTTAGTTCTTATTATAATAATAAAGGAAGACCCTAATTGTAATCAGCAAGAATTATGTATTTTATCCTATAGTAATAATCATCAAGTATAATTAGTATAATTTGATGAAAAATTATGTAAAATTTTTATTAGAAGAATATTATAAATTATTATTGTTACCTAAATCTATTTAAACATAACATTCAACTTATTGCATTGCATATTGTCTCATTTCCTCCACCATCTACAATTATTATTTCCTTCTACATCTCCTCCACATTCTGATCGTGTACATATACAGTATGTGATAAAGTAGTTTCATTATTCTCATAAATAATATTCAATGGCGCATTCTTCTGACCCCAAACATTCATTTAAAATTGCATAATTGTTATTATAGGGAATATATCAACTAGATTTTTTGATGTTGAACTTTCTACCTATTTTCTAAAATAAATAATTAATAATAAATATGTCGCGTAACAATTCTTTTTGATTGTACACCACCAGATCTAAAAAAATTGATCAATAATTAGTAGTATATCAATAAATAAAATATGATCACGTAATAATTAGTAGTATATCATAATTAATAATAAATAAAATATGCGTAACAATTCTGTCTGATCGCACACCACCAGATCCAAAAAAGTGATTAATAATTAGTATGTCAATAAATAAAATATGATCGCGTAACAATTCTTTCTAATTGTACACCTCCAGATCTAAAAAAAAAAATGATTAATAATTAGTAGTATATCAATAAATAAAATATGGTCTCGTAACAATTCTTTCTGATCGTACACCGCCAGATCTAAAAAAAAGCGATTAATAATAATAAAATATGGTCACGTGTTAATTCTTTATGATCGTACATAATATTTAGAATTGCTGCCTACTATCTTTCAATCGCATGTTCCGGTGCACCGGCCGGACTTACAGTTAATTAGCTTTGCTCAAATTTAAATCCGCCATTTCGACCCCCGAAATTACTTCATGTATACTTGAAACATAAAAAAAATTATATTATTCAATGCAAAAAATATTTTTATGTATTCGTGTTATTATATTTATTTATTAAAAATAAAAATTTTATATATATAACATTATGAATTGATCACATGATTATGATTTGCAATTTCTCTATAACGGTCTTTTTTTTTTGCCAAAACAGAAGGACCGTTATAGAGAGTGTGTACTGTATTTAATTGTTTATTTTACTATTAAATAAAAATAATATAACTTAAATAAATATTAAATTTTCATTTTCTATTTTAAATTCACATTACATTTTCATTCCTTTAAATTATTTATTTACATAATAATAAGATCATTTTCTTCTTGCAGATCTTGTTGATCGTACCATAATTCAAATTTTTCATTATTACTACTACTACTGGCAATTTTATAGATTGAAATAGCAATTTGAAATTCTAAATCATTTGTTATTTTAACAAAGTTATTAAAGTAATCTTTA